TACCTTTGTTCCTTGAAGCAATGGAGAATGTGGTCCGGCCCTCCACATATCCCCCTTTTTTTACTTCTTTGCAGAAAGGCAACTCCCTCAGAAGGCAAAGATAGAGGTCGCACTTCCCAGAGAGAAAACATTACGATGGGCTTGCACGGAATCTGCCCCTAGGTTCATGACACCTGGAACCTATCCGGCCTGCCCTCTGCCATTTTTCTGGGAAAGGGAATATACGACAGGAAACCCTTATGCAGAACGACATATCTCTCAGAGAGGGCCATTCTCTGTGCGATGCTCTTCAGCTCGACAACCTTCAGGGCTAGCTAAGCCAAGCACTCCACCCTGTGCAATGGACCACTGTCCTAGGGGTGCCGGAGCTGGTTGGCATAAACCTTACTGCTTCAGCATAGATAACCACACATCGGTAAAGGCCCCTGTTTCAGGGCTGCCAACGCTTGTGCAATAACCACTTTGTCCCTACGATTTTGGGATTTGAGTCAGCAGACCATCCAGAGGAGAAACACTAATCCATAGCATAGGACTGTTCCAAAACATTTCCACCCCCACCCATTCTTTGAAGTAGGGGAATGAGAGACACGACCCAGGACTGGAGTCCTACGGCCAAGCTTATAAATCATCTCTAGGACGGTAGGGATGGGGCCCAGAGTCTTATTGGTTGTAAAAAATCGAGGAAACACCGCCATCCTATGGCTGACTAGTAACAGCTTCAGGAAAGCTGAGAGTGTCCTCCATCAGTACTCTGTCATCCATCCACAAAATGGCAGGAGGAGCAGCAGCCAGGTCCTCAGGCGAATCCGTGTGTTGTGGATCACTCTTCACTGTTCGGGTCAATCGCTCTGGCAGCCCGAATGGGCTTTCTTGATCCTGTGGGAAGACACAAACAACTCCCCTGGATCTCAATAAAATGGGATCCGGGCCTTTCCATTCATTAGAAAGCACATCTTTCCACTTAACCAAATCTTTGGGCCACTGCGGATCCGAACAATGTCGTGTTGCAGCATTTTGGCCATTATCATCCAAATTTTAAAATTTTATAGTGAACAGAGCCATGGCAATGGCCACTCTTGGCGTCGGGGGCAGCTCTGTCAATATTCCCCCTTTCTGTTTTTAACAAGAACTGGTATCAGTATAGGCCATGCCCTTGTCACTGTTTAGAGGGTCATCCTTGCTATTTATTTATTTATTTTTATCAAGTTTTCCAGTCCAATTACCTAGAAGATAACTAGACAATTGCTTAATAATCAGTCATTGCATCTGGGATCGCAGGGGCGCAATTCTCCAGCTGCATCAAGAAGTCTACCAGAGGCATGTTGGAAACTATGGGCTTTTTTTTTGCCAGTCACAGATTTAGCCAATGACCCAATCACCTTAAAAATCTAAGGGCTTTTCGCATCTACCTCCCTGTGGATCCTAAAACATTAGATTTAAAACCAAATAGTTGTAAGCTGCCATGTGGTCGCTGGGGAATTGAACTCATGACCCTTGGAAGAGCAGGCAGCATTCTTAACCCCTAAGCTATCTCTTTAGCTCCTTATTTAGATGGAAAATCTCTTGGGCTAGTAGCCGGCATTGTTCGCCCCGCCCGTTGCCCCAGGCTATGCCTTTGTTACCTAGGATCAGCACAGCTCAGCTCAGCCAAGCGGAACAGAAGCCACTCCAGCCTCAGAGCCCCTCACAGTTTCAGGCACATTGCAAGCCTTCTGACCTGGCAGCTTGTGGCACCGTTCTCATTCTCGGTACTGCTGTGATACCCTCCAGGCCAGGCATCGACTGAGCCGGTGCAACGTGCCCCACCATAGCCATCGAGCAAAGCTCCGCTCCAGCTACCCTCCAGCCGCAGCTGCATTCATTCTGAGTCCAAACTCGGTGCGCGGAGTAAAGCAGAACTCAGAATCAGGCTTGCTGGTCTGAAACCACTGTAAGGACCTCATTTAAACAATCTTTTAGGGAATATGGGCGTCGTTAGTCTCTCTCTGACTACTTCCTGCTGAATTGGGCCGTTGCATTTTGGGGGTATACACTACAACATTTCAGGAGGTCTCGGTGATTCAAACCACATAAATCTCAAGTACACCCTTAGGCTCTCATTTTCTGTGGAGATGAAAACAGAACCTCTTTTCCAAAACATCATATCCTTAGGCAAATTCAAATATCTTTCTCCTGTCCGGTACACAAAAGACAACACAAACAACATAACATAAAGCTTTTGACCTTGTAGGTCAGTCTCCCCCATTCTTAGAACCACCGGGGGGTCCTTTTTTCTTATTTCCTTTTCAGTCTCCCCCATTCTTTGAACCACCGGGGGGTCCTTTTTCCTATTTTCTTTTTCTTACAGGCGCGCCTAACCTCTCACTGCACTCAGTTTCTGATATGCTATCCTGGACTTCCTCCAATACATTTTGTCCGTCTGCAACAACAGCCTGGCAGGATTTATCTTCTAAGCAAATTTCAAAGTGATAAGAGAACTGCTAAGAAGTACCAAGGCCTCTACGAAACCTTTCCAAGGTGGAGACAAGTCAAGCCCAAAACCGAAAAGTCCAAGAATAGTCGTACCTCTCTGAGCAAACAACCTGCAGTTCTGAATCCTCCTTGTGTCCAAGGGGTCTCCGGCGGTGCGAGCAGTTGTCAGGGTCCCTCAGCGTCCCGAGGGATTCAGCACCAGTTGCCCCGCGCTACCGTCTCGCCCGCAAGAACGACGCGGGACACTTAGGATTCTTCTGCAGTAAAGCTTTATGCGTCTTGAGAGGGAGAGCATAAGCTTACATGGCGGAGACCCAGAATGAGGGGAACCCAGCCCTTATAAAGGAAACAGTCCTCACTTCTGACGTGTCACTCTTGGATTGGTCCGCTGCCCATTATCCCAGATGATGCCTCGGGAGTAGGCAGGGACGCAGCAGTAGAGAGTTACCAAGCACATGCGCTGGGATTAAAGGCGTGTGCTACATCACCTTAAACTCACAGAGATCTGCCTGTCTCTGCCTCCCAGGCATAGGGGCCAAAGGCGTGTACTACCACGCCTTGAGGTCACAGAGGTCAATCTGCCTCTGCCGCCCAGGCATCAGGACTAAAGGCGTGTACCGCCACACCTTGGGGTCACAGAGGTCAATCTCTACCTTTGTTCCTTGAAGCAATGGAGAATGTGGTCCGGCCCTCCACAAGGTTTCAGGTGTATCTTCAGAGATCCAGAGTTTCCAATTTCCTTTATTTGTCTTCCAAAATGTTCCTGTTTCAGTTGTCTTACAAATACCTGCAGGTTCCTGGGAAAAGTTCTGCTGCTTTATAAAAAATCAGGTCTGGTAAAAACTAATAGTTTGCAGAGCCTATTTTAACCCCACCAATTTTCAAGCATATTTTACAGGCCACTCCTGTCTGGGTCAAGACCAACTTACAAAGGGCCCTCCAGATAATGCCAACACCTGCACCAGCTCCTGGGTCTTCACCATTGGTACCAACTCTCCTGTCTCAAAAGGACACCAGCCAACTAAAATCTGGTTTTAAAGGGACATATCTGCTCTTGTCTCACTTATTCACCCACGCCTCTCCTGTACAACCAGGGCACTTCTCTGTGCCATTCTTTCTGGCAGCTAATGACCCCTTCCATGGCTAGCCCCATTCATAGGGCCAGTAGTAACTTATATTTTTTTCTCCTGGCCACCTGTCTTCTCATCTCCCTCAAGGAACAGCTGCCTGATGTCTCCAGGATGGCAGTAAACCAGATGCCACTTCAGCCATACCTCTCGCTGAGCGTGAGCCCACCAACTCCCAGCTCTCCCCTCTCCCACATTGCCCCATGCCCGCATGAAGTAGTCAGACTTGAGCCTACACCCCTTTATCCGAAGAGTCTGGAATGTTTGGTTGGAAGCAGGCTATTTAAACTGCCTCACAGAGAACAAACGCATGGTCTCCCCTTTTCCCTCTTCGTGTTTTTCTGGGGGGTCACCCGGGAGAACTGGCATCCATTAAACCCAGGCTTCTTCTAATTTGGGCTGATTTGGTTTGATTTGAATTATTGCGTCAGTGGAGAGGTTTGTCGGTCTGGAAAAACTTAACAATGACCCCTTCCCAAAGATACTTAAGACCACACCCACAGGGTATTTAAACTGCCCCTAGAGATCAAACATATGGTTTTCCAGTCTTCCTTCTGCTCTCTAGGGGGCTGAAAATCATCTGGGAATATTTATATCTATTAAACCTGGGCTTTTTCTAATTCAGTTTGATTTGGTCTAATTTGGATTATTATGTCAGCAGAGAGGCTTATTGGGGTACAGGAACTTTTCACTAGAGACTCAATGAACTAGTAGGAGTTCAAAATCGGGCGCTAGAGTTATAGGCACTGAGTCAGATTCTCATAGACATCGTCGGGAAAGGGTTTGTTAGTACTTGGGATTTCAGTGTGAAAACAGGGGGATCAGTGGAAGGATGGGTAAATAGATGGTGAATGAATGGATGCATAAGTGCGTGGATGATGATGGATGATGGATGATGGATGGATGGATGGATGGATGGGAGAGAAAGATGGCAGATGAGTTGTGGATGGATAGATGGGTGGATGAGTAGGTGGATCATGGGTGGATGATGACTGGATCACAGATGGATGTATGGATGGATGGATGGATGGATGGATGGATGGATGGATGGATGGGCAGATAAATAAGAGAACGGGGAAAAACAGCCAAGATTGATGTGCCAGGTCTCCCAGTACAAAGTTTCTGGGTTCAAATTGTGAAAGACCACAGGAGTTTTCCCTGTGGCACTTCTCTATCTTGGCTCCTGAATAAAAAATACTGTCAACAATTAGGTTGAATTCATGGTGGGGGTAGAATGTGAAGTTTGAAGGGAAAGCTAGAGAAAAAGAAACCAAATTTACACGTGTGGAAACCAGGTCGCAAAAAGAACAATATCATTGCAGAACTGTCTAGCAGCCCATGTGGTCTGGAATAGCCCTGGCCAGAGTCCTCGAGGTGTCCTGCAGAACTGCCAGGTAAGCAGGTCTGTGGAAAAACCTCTGAGGTTCGTGTGTGGGTGAATTATCTATTTTCATTCTCTGTGGCTGTAGATGAGAGCAGAGAGTTTGTGTGGAGGGAAATTCTACATCATTTCGTGTGACAGCTAGAGAAGAAATGAACCCAGGGCACACGGATGGCAGAGTTAAGGCAACAACCTAAGGAGTATGATTGCGCACTAGCAGCCTGCTGGAAGCTGTGGAGTCTTTTCAGTGCAGGGGGATATGTCTAAGCAGCCACTACAGATTTTTGCTCTAGTGGTGAACAGTTTGAAAAGTCAGATAATGTATTCAAGCTGTTCAAACTAGTCCTGGGACTCAAGGACGTCAAGATTGCTCATCATTTGTGTCACGGCCAACTGTAGATCACTTGCACACTGCTCTGCACAGCCTGTGGTTATAAGAGGGATCCTGAGCTAAGAAGAGGGTGTATGATGTTTGACAGGCCAGGCACATACCTGTCAACTATCTGTGACCTCAGAGGGAACAGAGTACCTAAAACCTAGGAATTGATGACAGCCTTACTTCAGGGACAAATATCTTCATTGGGCTTTTAACTGAATTCCTTATTTATCTGATACCCAATAATTATTTTTTAGAATGGTTTAAGTTCTGAAAATCTCCTGCTATTTTTAGATAGTGCAACCTTCAGTGGAGTGCTGAGACACTCAATGAGGCAAAGCCCTATGACCCATCACTCTGTCTCAACATCTACTGAGGCAAAGTGCATCACTTTTCTTGTTGCTGTCTTCAAATGCCAGCAAAAGCAACTTGCAGAAGAGGAGGTTTATTCTGTACAGTGCAAGGGTTCAGTCCACTGTGGCAGGGAAAGCATAGTAATGGGAGCTTAGGCAGATGATCACTTTCAGTCCTCAGTCAGGAAGTGCAGATGCATGTGTTTATGGTACCACCCACATTCAACAGGTTGGGTCTTTTCTTCTCAGACAACCTAATCTAGAAACCCTTCACACACATGTGTAAAGGGTTTGACTGGTGTCTCTAGAACCTGTCGTGTGGACAGTCAATACTGATAGCACCAGAGGAGAACTTTCTCTCAGGTCTTAGTCTAAGAACCAAGCTTTCATTTTTGAAACTCTTCTACAGTCTAGACTCTTAAAGGATCTCCCACATGACTTATGCCACTAGAAGTCTCAGAGTCACAGTTCTCCAGACACAGTGCAGGGCGTTTGTAGTGTGCTTATTAATTTGTGGATTAATCATTTTATCCATGTAGAAATTTTCCTTGTTTTTATTATTTTCCTATCAGAAACAATGTTCCTTTTATGCTGACTATTTCTATTCTTTCTTTTATAGTTTTTGCATTTTTTTAAGGAGGGAACTCTAAGACTATTATGGTTGAAGATGAGAAAATCTACTAATCCCACGTGCCTGGAGGATTAGCTGGTAATATGATAATATGTGGGGTTTGGAGGTAGAAAATGAATTCCCCTTCAGTTACAGGGGTTATTCAAAGAGATCAATGTGATGGAGGCTCACCAGCTGTCTCACTGCCCTCCACGCAGGAAGCTGTGTGAAACAGCTGCCCCTCTCAGGTCCATGATATTCCTGATGGCTTTGTCACAATATCTTAGAGGTGAAAATGCTGAGTGTTTCAGATTTAACTAAAATGTCCTCTGAGGTTCTTTTCTTTGCAGGGGAACCATGAATACACAGCATTTGTGGGACTGTTCAGAAATACGTCATGTGCTCACATTGGAGAGCTACTGAGGCCACACAGCGGAGTGGCTTTAATCACCCAGACCTCTCTGGGTCCCTGAAGTCTTTACATATGATATAAAGACACTGGCCCACAGGACTAGATAATCTCTTCTCTTATGATAAACCTGCAATAAATGATCCATACACATGAAAACAATCGTAAATTGTTCTGTTAGTGGATTGTTTGATATAAGCTATTATGTACCTCAGGCTAGCCTTGGAATTATACTATAGCCAAGGATAATCATGAGCTTCTGATCTCCTGTCTCTACCATCTAAAGCCTAGGAGTATAGGAATGTGTACCACACCACATTTATGCAGTGCTGGAGATCAAATCTGGGGCAACCTTCATACGAGACAAGCAAGCACTCTACCATCTGAGCTATGACCTCAGGCCTTCTCCAGAGGTTTTCAGGAATAAAGAATTGTGTCTAGTGAAAAGCTAGAAGGTGACCCACAGGAGCTAGGGTAGCACTGAAGGTGTCCAGGAGAGTCTGCAATCAAAGGAAGCTGCTGGTTTCTCCACGTTGAAAAACAGGTCATTTTCACTACATAAAGTTGGGAATTTGTACATTAGGATGTACTAATAATATTAGTTAGAATTCGCCTGGGGTACCTGGACAGTTAGTGCATCTCTTGCCTTCAGGAATCTGTAAGAACACTACAGTGAGTTTTCCAGAGGAGGCTGGAGTTGGGAGTGGGCTGCATACAGTACCAGTGAGGACCCTAATTAACTAAGTCAACGTGACCTTCCAACTGCTGCCAGGGTGGCACTGACCCTGCCACGTGAAGGCTGTGCTTATAGGTCATAAACTAGAACTGAAAATATAGTTTATGGTGAAACAGGAGATTAGCTAAACTGCCAGGTTAACAGAGAGACATCCTCAAATGTTTCCTGTGTACATTGTGAAACCCTGAGGCAACAGAGAGTTCCCCATGGCCGCCAGTTGTCCTTCTCCTTTCCCCATCCTGCCTTTCATTAGCCACACAAGTCATTATCTGAGGCAAGTTGTAGTCAGACCAGCATACTCTAATGTTTCTTAGTTCCTGCTTCCAAATTAAATGTGCTTAGAAAAAGAAAAAACTAAAAAATGTTTCAATTCTGTTGGGAAATTTTGTTATTCCTGGAAGGAAAGACTTTTTGTTTTTGTTTTTGTTGTTTTTACATTGAGTAACTGGTCTTATTTTGTTTGAAAAATGCTTGGATGCTCCAGAGACAAAACAAAACAAACAAAAACTCTTCTCAATTCTGCCTAGCAACTGGGCGCTGAGGCAGTAAGGACACAGACATCCGTGACTAGACGAACAGGTGCTGACTGACAGAGAGCAGCCTCCTCCCTGGGCTTCACGCACTATGACTGAAGCTCCATGTGCTCCATGTACAAGGAGAAATACTAGCCGCTTTTCTTAACTCATAGCGAACGCCGTTAAATTCTTTTTGCACTTCCTTTACAAGACCATTTTAGGTTTTTGTTTGGTTTTGTTTTTCTTTTTAGGGTAAAGGCCTGGGAATTTCCCAACTGCCATGTTCCACCTCACACCTCATACTGCCTTCTTTCTCTTCTGTTTTATTTTCACTGCCGACCATGGGAAAGGCACATACCCAGCACTTGGTAGCCTCTGGGCAAGCACTGAGGAAAATTTGACTGGTAACTACTCCAGCAAAGGGAGAGTCTGGAATTGTGACATCTCTTACATGTACATCTACCGGCCTACAGCTGTGTTTTCTACTTTTTGTTCTATGCAACATGTGTTTGCAGTCCTCACATGTGTGTTTCCTCAGTCACCATCCATGTTATGCTTTGAAGCAGGGTCTTCCAGTGAGTGTCAAACTCTCTGATGCAGCTTATGAGTCTTACTGTGAGACTATTTATTTCCAGCAAAGGTCTATGTTCTTTGAGCGCCCCCCTTTCCTTTTGTGCCCATGAGCCCACGGAGTCATGCAGTGCAATCAAGCTTGCACTAGTGGAATGAGGCAGTCACCACCTGCAAGAGAAATGAAAGTCGGAGGTCATGTTGGCCGTGTGTGTTTGCTAGCCTTGTCTAGGTTCTGACACAGCCATCTTGCTCACACTCTGTGTGTGATCTTTTGTTGACACCATCCTGTCTTTCCTCTCCAGTATGTGCTTTTATGTGGGTTCCAGGGGCCAAACTCAGGTCCTCTGGCCTGACGGAGACATCCCCCTCAGTTCTAGACCTGCATTTTCTATTGCTAAAGCAAAGCTCTAATACCTCTGCTATAAAGGGATCCATGGCTGAGTCTTTCCATGAAAAACTGCTGACCTGCAGTGAATTCATTGTCATACATTTAACTAGGGAAGACTGAACACTCTAGAGCTGAAAGAGACTCGTCCCACCCCCAACAGCACAAGGTTATGTCTCCTTTTATTTTGTTGATGAAAAGTCCAAAGCGATGACAAACGTGACTACTAAACTGTTTCATGCGTACTAGCTAAGAAATCTTTATGTGCATAGTTAGTCCACATACAATTCACATAACAAAGCAAACAGCATTTCAAAACAGAGAAAGTTAAAACCACAGTTTCCTGAGTCCTGTTTACAAGATCTCATTTGTTAAACCAAAGCCCATCTCTCTTACAGTTCCGGTTACATTTGTGTCCCTGACAAACCCTGAAGTACTGGCCTGCTTAAAACAGATCAAATCACAAATTCCGGAGTCACAGCTGCCCCGGGAGGGAACAGTTAATCTGAGTGCCTGAGATCTAGGTAGACTCTGAGGTCAAAGAGTAAGAGGCAAGATTTCAGTGAAAATGTTTAGACTCTATGTACCACACAGCTGGAAATGAGGGATTGAGTTATTGGAGAATTTGAATTATGTGAGCATGAAATCAAGAACAATAAATGGACACGGTGTCCAGGAATAACAATTCCTCAGATGTGGATATGCATACTGTTTACACAGCGTTCCCCAGGATTCTCACCCTAAGCCTCACAATAACAGGGCGTGAAAGGACTGACTTCTTGGCGAACTTATTTCAGAGGCTTTGCGGACAGGGTCAGTTGCTGTGAGCCAACCTGAGTAGCAGGAACGCTTTGACTCGGGTTTCTCAGAACAGTCATGTTGTCATTGTCAGTTCCTGTCACTTACAGACAGCTTTCTGCTCCTGATGCTTGCTGGGAAACACAAAAGACAAAGGACAAACTGTCTTCATTAGGAACACTGTAACTGTGGTTACATTGTTTTCCCCTTTTGCCTTGCATTCCTTTCTGTGGCTCAGGTTGGTTAAAAAATTAGAGCAGAGTTGAAACTACATGTGTAGTGACCTAAGGGTAGAACTGACCCCTGACTCCTAGTTCTTTGCCTGTAAGTTCTGACAAGAGGAATAGTTGTGTCACAGTGACCAGTGTGGTGTCTTCTTATTTTCCTGGAAACACTTGTCCTTGGTACAAACAGCTTAGAGGTTAGAATGAAGGCCTGGCAGGCAGGATTTGTACTGGCTATTATTAGAATTGCCACAGTTTTATCGCAAAGGGTTACCCTGAAGCAGCATAGTTTATTGGAGAGAGGATGTGGCTGGAACTGACCTGCTGGTAAATGAGAGACAGTGCGTACCAGGAACATGCCTCAGCCATACTTCAGGGACAGTCGGTCACTGAAGCAGAGCCGCTGCATCCTTGAGCATTGTGCTGCCTTGGCTGAAGGGGTCTGATTCTCTCTTGTCTGCACAGGAATAGCAAAAGAACCCTATTGGGCCACGCTACAGCTTCCTGCGTGGAGATAAAAGTCCTTCAAGAACTTTTAATGTAATTATATTTTATTTTAAAATGCATTAAATATTTTAACAATCAATAATTTTTAAAAAAAAAAAAAAGAGATTAAAGCAAAGATGGAAGAAGAAGTTATAGCCTTGCTTTCCAGTTGTACTGTTGGGTCAGTGCATGAACTGAAAGTCCTTACTTTGTGCATGCGCAGAAGAATAGAGGTCCCAGCACAACTTGTAGGAGTTCTCTTATATCATGTGGGGCAGGAGAATCAAACTCAGGTTGTCAAGCAACTGATAAGAATATTGCTGGCATTCCTACCTCAGATGTCACAATCAGTGCTGGACCAAAGAATTTAGAAAAAGAACGAAAAATTAAAAAAAAAAAGAAAGAAAGAAAGGAGTACATTCAGTCTGACGCCAAGTGCCTCGGCTCTAAATGGATTTGTGAGTGAGCAAAGAGCAAAATGCAATATATAAGGGAAAAAAGGTTAAATGCTAACTCCAAAAAAAGAGGTATGATGGCCATCTGAGCAATAAAAGGAATGAAGTGAGCTAGACATATTGAAACAGATTGAGTCAGCCTTGTGTTACCCGCGGAAAGCGCAGACTCAAGACCCACCCATGCCATCTGTTTCCTTGAACATCTCTAGACAGTCCTAAACCTGCTGCTCCAGGAACCAGAAGTTACAAAGACCTTTGGCCCACGACTCTGGGCCATTGTCCTACCCCAGCCCATCCTTACTTGATAATTCTGTTCTTGCCTTTCTTTCCAAGGCTCAATCTCTGCAGAAATGTCTGCAGTGAGCTCAGAGTAATTCAATTTTTCTGTTATTTAACCACTCAAGAAATATGCACGTAACTTTAAAAATTAAAAGTTACAGATTATTAAAATCAAGAAATGCATGTTTATTCCTTCTCAAACTCTGTACAAATGAGGTAAGAAAATACATGGTCTTTGTGTAATGAGAGTTGGATAAACAACCTGCAAACAGGGGTTTAATTGCAAGCTTTGGTAGCCAGGACAAGTTAGACATGGAGGCTGAGAGAGCAAAGCAGAGAGCAGGACTCTGTCCCGGGGTAGGAACGCCGCCTCGTTCATTCTGTTTGTGTCAATAATGGTCTATTTCACTGAGGTTACAACTAATGAAAGATAATTACAAACCAGGCACCTGCTAGCATCTGAGAATGAGGTAAGAAATAAGATGACCACAGTCTCAACCTCTAAGGAGAGGAGAACCTCAAAGAGAAAATCCAACTGAAAGAGGACACACCAATCTCACAGGTAGAATCTTAGAGGGGGATCCTGCCCAGGTAAAAAAGCATCTTAGTCAGATATGGGGGGAAAAGGCTAGACATTAAAAATGAGGTCACTGAATTCTGTCTCTCCATCTCTGTGTGTGTATAAGTGTATGTATGTTTTTGTAAATAACATTGTCACCATTGGTGGTGCATGCCTTTAATCCCAAGACTCAGTAGGGAGAGGCAGGTGGATCGCTATGAGTTCAAGGCCAGCCTGGCCTACACAGCAAGTTCCAGGATGCCCAAACTACACAGACAAACCATGCCTCAAAAAAAGAAAAAGAAAAAAAGGAAAGAAAGAAAAAGGAAGGAAAATTATCATTAGCTTGCCCCAAAAGGACATTGTCTCAGCGCTTCCCTGGCTGCTGTCCTCCCAGTGACCTGGACATATGGCTGTTTTAGAAGAGCTCTCTCATCTCCAAACCACTGAAATAAATGCAGCCTCACATTGATCTCAGTTTACACATTGTAGACAAGGAAGAAAACATGTTTGGACCACTTCTTATTGACATGTGGTTTTATTTATTTTCACCTTCTTGCAATCAGCATCTATAAAAAGTTTAATTCATTGCAACTTTCATGTTTATTTTATTTATTTGGTTTTTCAAGGCAGGGTTTCTCTGTAGGTTTGGAGCCTGTCCTGGAACTAGCTCTGTAGACCAAGCTGGCCTCAAACTCACATAGATCCACCTGCCTCTGCCTCCTGAGTGTTGGGACTAAAGGCGTGCACCACCACCACATGCCAATTTTCATTTTAAAAAGCCATGATTACAAAAGCAGATATTCACATGATTTTGTTTAAATACCGGGCACTGGGCAGGCGACGCAGCAGGCGAAAGTACGCGCTGTGCAAGGACGAGGACCTAAGCGGAATCTCCAGCCGCATGGGGCAGCCCAGCTTGTCCACACAGACCAGTAACTCCAGCTTAGCTCCAGGTTCAGTGAGACAGTCTGTCTCAAAGCAATGAAGTGGACGCTGAGAGCAGAATCCTTTTGTCCTCCATATGCTCACAGACACATGGACCTGCACATATAAACCTGTGATACCCTGCTCTCATATGTTACATATACTTTACACATACACACAAACACTTTTCGATACATGCTCACACCTGCACACACACACACACACACACACACACACACACACACACACACGAAACCTGTAAATGGATCCGAAGATCAGATGTAAACTATTCTGTAGCAGGTACATTTACAAAGCATGAGTACATGGTTTACTAAGTGAACATGCTCTGTCACGTGTGCACTCAATGATCTGTGGGTCCTCTCCATTGGGGCATCTGCAATTGAAAGCTGAGTGCAGATTTCATGATTACACTCTTTGAGTGATCAAGTCATCTTAGCATTGCTTTGGAAAACTTAACTGGTGCTTTTTAAAATGTTTGCAATAGCATTGAAGACACGGAAGGGAAGTTTTATTCTGATTCATAAATATTAGTCTTCCATAGCACAGTCACAAGTGGAATCTGCTGAAGCGAAGAAGGGAAGAGGAGAACAGAGAGCCGGTCCTCTCCACATCAAACAGGAGCCATGGCCATGCTCTCCACAATCAGCGGGAGTCACAGTTTCCCCTCTGCTCCTCTTTGCAATGCTTTGCCGAGAACTGGCCTATCCTTCAAAGTTGTTGTGATTTACACCAGAGAATTTATACTACCCATAGTCTCTGTGTGTCCTGCCTAACAAAAAATGACCTCCAACAATCAATGAAATCAGTTACCTGTGCAATCTCCTCAGCATCTGGAAGTAAAAAGACAACACCAAAATACTCCCCACAAAATCTCATCTAGATTTTTTTACTTTCACAATAAATGTTCAATAAGGAGAGTCTACTTCTCTTATTAAATTTTCCTCAAAGCAGAAGACTGCATAATCTTCAATGAGATATGAAATTGGTTGGGTCTGATTATCAGTCATGAGAGAAAACTACTTAATTTCTTTATCATTTGAAAACTGGTTCATTCTACCTGGAACGACTGACAATCCTAACAACAATAACCCCTTTATTTCTTCCACTCGTGATCAAAAGCCTTGGGTGAACTGTTATGTGATTGTCTTGTTTTTGTCGTAGCCTCTTTTTTGTTTCAAGCATGTAATGAAATAGTTGTTCAAAGAAATGTTAGGAACATAATCTTTTGAGGGAAAAAGTCTTGCCTCTGAACCATTTTGTGTAGATATGCATGAAGCAAAGGCTTTTAAAAGCTAATTAAAAATGAAATTGCTGTCAGGAATTCAAAATTGTGACAGTATTCAGTAATATCGAAGGGAGGTGTTTTCAAGGAAAAAAATATATTAGTGCCTCCAAACACTCCATAGGCCAAATTGCTCCCTGCTTGAGGTTATTACCATGAGCCAGGCCTTTGCCTAAGACTTATCTTGAATGAACCTGTTCCCATGTAACTTCCTTCAACAAATCTAGGCAGAGCGAATGACTCCCTTCTGATAGCTAGGTACAGGCTGTACTGGAGATAAGATATTCCCAGGACATGGCCACTGTTTGCCCAGCCCAGGAAGTGAGGGAGGAAACCACAGTAACCCAGTCAGGCAGAGAAGCTGCCCTTAGAACAATATGACCAGGTAAGAAGGTATATGCTCTCTCCGTGGTTCTATATGTAGCCTACATCCTTCTACCAGACCAGTTTATTTGATTCGGATCACCCTTCACAATCCTCCCCTCGTGTGTGTGTGGGGGGGTATGCATATATGTATGAGGTATGTGTGTGTAGATGTATGTATATAAGTGTATATGCATGTGTGTGTATTGTGGGTATGTGATGTATGTGTGTGTTTGTGTGTGTGTGGTGTGTATGTGCGTGTGAGTGTGAGTGTGTGTGTAAACTAGAGATCTACATTGGGTGTCCTCTTCTACTGCTCTCCACCTTATATTTTGGTACAGGTTCTCTCTCTCTCTCTCCCTCTCTCTCTCTCATTGTACCTGTAGCTTATTGTTTGACTAGTCTGGACAACCTGTGGTGATATTTTATTTGTGCTTTAACAAATAAAGCTTGCCTGAAGGTCAGAGTGTGGAGCTAGCCACTAGTTAGCCACAGAGGCCAAGCACTGGTGGCACACACCTTTAATCCCAGCACTTGCGAGACAGAGACAGAAGGATCTCTGGGAGTTCAAGGCCACCCTGGGCTACAGGAGATTGAATCAGTCTAACAGGAAATAGAGCCAAGCAGTGGTGGCTCACACCTTTAATCCCAGCACTAGGGAGATGGAGACAGGAAGTGATATGACTGGGTGGAGAGAGGAATATAAGGCAGGAGGAGACAGAAACTCAGGATTCAGAGGGTTCCTAGAGAGCATTCAGCCTGAGGACGGGTAGAGACAACACACCCCATTCGGTCTGAGGGTTTCATCCAGGTGAGAACTAGAGACTGTCTGCTCTGCTTCTCTGATCTTTCAGCTTTTACCCCGTAATATCTGACTCTGCGTTTTTACTATTAAGACCAATTGGAATTCCTGCTACGTCACCAGTTGACTAGACTGGATAACCAGTGAACTCCTGAGCTGCCTCTTCACCGCCCCCCCCTTAAGCCCCCCAACCCTGCCCAGCACAAAGGTTGCATATACACACCACCACACCCAACTTTTATGTGGGTCCTGGGGATTTGAAGTCCCATGCTAGAAAGGGAACTCATATTCTCTGCAAGACAGTACTAGCTTTTTAACCAGTAGCCAACTCTCCAGCCCTGTCTTTTCAGATTTTCTAACAAGCTTCTTAAAAATTTATATTATTGGGGGACAAAATGATTATCTCAGGGACAAAGCACTGACTCAGCCCCTGGTTCTAACTCTGGGCACTTCAAAACAAGCCAAATAAACCTCTGATTTGTTTAATAAATGGTGCCATAATATGGCGAAATTGTAGGTGATGTCTTCACTATAGATGTCTTCACTATATAGATCGTTAGATGACTAACGAATGGCAGAGACTATCAGACTGCTGGGAAGTTGACTGATTTGAAGTTGGCTGCTGTGTCTGGCATGTGCTTTCTCTGTAAGCACTTCATACTCAGGATATCAATCACGGCCACTCTGATTTTCTGCCCAGCAGTTAGGCTGTGTACTGCTCATTCCCAGCCCCTCACCTGGCTTCATGGACCGAGTTTGTGTGGGTTACAGATTCTCTCTGTGGACCTGGAGCTGAAGAGCTCTGACTAAGTGCATTTGACTATATGGAAATGAGAACCCTGACCTTGGGCTCTTTAGCCGTCTTCCCAACAGCTAAGCTATTCAGCAGTCTGGCACATCCCATGGTAACCTAAAACCACGTTGACTTGATAGTAATAGTAAGAACACAAAAAGGCCGTTCTGCTCTGTGTACATCTCGTGACTTGAAGGAAGGCCTTAAGTTCATATTCCCAACATTTCAGCTGCCCTGCACTTCCCTTCTACAGCTCAAACAAACTCAAAAGTTGAAGATGTGACTTACACTATCAATAGGGATTTATAAAAAAAGTCACAATATTTCATTTCATCCAAAAAGCAAAATATATTTCAATATAAGTCCTTAGCCCTTGGACCTCACAGTGTTGTACAAATGCCTTCCATGGACTTACCCAGAACATACCCTTCAGACTGGATCCTCTTGTATTCACGACGATCCCTCCATACCAGCCTGACGTGCAAACTGGGAAGTTAGATAAATCTGCTTATTCCTGTCAGCCTTGGCACAGACATCTTTTTCTGCTGGAGTCTAATATTCACCCTAAGAACACTGTAGCCACTCACTTCCCAGTTTCCTGGAGGTTGCAAACAAAGCAGGATAGGTCTCCATGACTTGAAAGAGAGGTTGGAGATCACCGTTCTTTTCCCAGGCTCGGTACGTCTTCTCCCGTCTGTCTGCTTCTGCCACCTTCCTAAGCACAGCGTGGGACTGGGACTTTTGAAAGGTAAAATTAGCACATAGGAAAAAAATCAAGAAAATATAAATCAGTATCTCAGTTCTGCAGACATGAGCCTGCCCTAACAGTAGTAAAAGTATCAACCAAGGTTGGAGCTGAAGCTGTTACTGACCAACAGTGAGAACTCAGGCAGCTTCCTGTGTGTGCTTCCTAAAGCTTTGCTTTTCTGATCTGTAAAACAAGACTAGGTTTCAGCACACGTGCTTTACTGATCTATTTTGAGAGCCGAAGAGACTAAGAAGTAACTTGTACCTTTTCTGCAATCTCATCTCCATTTGTTGATTCATCTACTTATTTACTTATCTTTATCCTTAAGATGTATAACAGTATTTTATAATGAGTAAAAAATTAGTTGCATAATATGCTCTTGTTTGTTTAATATGCTCTGTGCACAAGCACGCACGCACGAACACACACACACACAAACACATGTACACGCTTACATAAGTATGTCTACATGTAGAGTGGTAACAGTTCAGTGTCTTCCTCTATCAATTGCCACCCTTTTTCTGAGACAGAGTCTCACTAAAACTAGAGCTCACCAATTTAGACAGGCTGAGATCAGACTGAAGAGTCCTCCTGTTCCAACCTCTTCAGAACTGGGATTACGTGTGAGTATCTGCACACCCAGGTTTTACGTGGGTGTTAGGTGTCAATTTAGGTCTTCATGCTTACAAGGCAAGCACACTACACACTGACCCATCTCCCCAATCCATGTTGTACTTTTTAAATAGCAATCCAGCACTTATATCTATATAGTTTTTAAAGTTTCTTCTATACCTGTTTAGCCATTATCCACCACAGAGTTGCATGTTCCATTAACTATTTCATATTTTCCTATTGTCTCCAGACCCAAACCCAAACTTGTAAATGATGACCCTGTACTCTGGAAGTTACTAACCTAAGTTTTTTTTTTCTATCCTTTGTAAAAGAACTGTAGATGATACCTTCCCATCTTTGCTAAGGACCGTATCATTCCTCTTACACTGTCTAATCTGAAGAGACCTTAGCATGAAAGACTGCAATGCTTCCATCTGATGCACTGTATGTAGCATGTATATTTGATGCCTGGTTAAAAGGTTTTAACCCGTGCAACCCCAGAGTCAGCGTCTGGATGAAATTTCTAGGGTTCACTCTCTGGGATCTATTGGATGAAACATGAGAACAAAACAAGAGAAAAAAAGACAAAAGACATGAAGCTTCTCCTTGGGGCGAACCTGATTTATCTCTAGCCTAATTACTAAATGACATGATAGATAACAGTTTATTGACCAAAGGACATTCTCTAAGAAAAGTTAGTTTCACAATTAACCTTTAAAACTAAGATATTCTTGAAAAAAAGCTGCAAGTTCCCACCTTCATTCAAAAATTAAAGCCCCTTTTGCAGGCATGCACTGTGACATCAGGGGAAGGTTGGCCTGACAAAAGTCAATTAGATTTCATGGTAAGGGATATTAGTTAGCATTCTATGCTTCTCTACATCTCGGAGAAAAACAAAACAGTCTTAAAGATGCCATGTGATCAGGGTAAACTATGTGAACCAGCTATGACTGTGTAGATCAGGTCGATCACGTAGGCCAGCTGGGTCAGTGTAGCCTGACAGCCATAAATTATTATGTTCCTCAGTCTTTTACTTTATTTTTGGTTTTTCATTTGTTTGTTTGTTTTTGCTGTGAGACAAGTTTTTCAGGTAGTCCAGGCTGCCCTAAAACTCAGTATGTAGTCAAAGATGACCTTGAACTTCTGACTCTTCTTTCTCCACCTCTCCAGTGCTGGGATTACACTCATACACCACTATGCCCAGTTTAGTGGAACCCTGAGCCTCCTTCATGCTAAGCATGTGCTCTATCACCTGATCCACACCCTAGCTCCTGCCTTTGTCTTTCAATAATACAGTGTACTCATCTGAGCTCTTCATTAAGTCTAAATGAAGTAGCTCTAGTCACTACATAAATTGTTGAACGTTATTTTGGATGAGTAAGTTACTTCCTATGCTTTTTCATCTTCTTGACACAAGTTCCAAACCACTGACTGGAGAAATGCATAATACTGAAAGTACGAATTTATTGTACAAAGAGTTTCAACTTGAGCTAAGTTTTGACTAATACCAGAAGACTCATATTAATAAAAGTATCATTTATTCATTTAATTCCACTGAGTTCAAGAGCTATATGAAGTACCAAAGAATTTCACAAACTGACATTTTTTTAGTGCTCTTTTAAAATGGTTGATGTAAATTATAATTGGGGTGAAAATGTAATTTTAGGAACTTGGAGAGGCACAAAGCATTATCCCCCCCTTTATTTTTATTACAAATAAATTCTAAGACAGAGTTAGAGATACAAAACTACAGCATGATTAGTGTGGATATTATAAGGCAGTAGTCTTTAGGATTAAAGTCTTTGGATTTTTGTTTTATGTCAATATGGTTTATTAGAGGAAATAAATGGTCACACAGAGTGACTCTATAGTAAGGAGTCCCAGTAGTAACATCAGTTGGATTCTAATAGGGCTTGGAAAAGTGATCCCATCAGGAAAGTGCTTCCCTTGCAACACAGAAAACTAAAATGAATTCACAGAATGTCTGTAAAAATGCCAGATTTAGAAGGGATTGTTTGTAATCACAGTATTGAGGAGGTGGAGACAGGAGGATTCTTGTGGCTCAATTCAGTCTCAATTCAGTCTAGCTGTATTGGTAAGTTTCAGGCCAATGAGAGGCTTATTTCAAAGACAGTAGATGTTGTTCCTGAGGACAACGTTTGAGGCTGTGTTTTGGCCTCCAAATTGCATGCATGCACACAAACACATAAATGAACATAAAAGATACTTGTTTACGGAATTGATCATGTCTATTGTGGAGCTACTCATGTGTGATGTTCTTTAAAATTGAGGCGAACAGTCATTTCTGTCTCACACAGTCCTTTCCAGGAGGATTTTCCAGAAGTTGTCATTCCAGCCAAGCTTCTCCTGCACGGATCTGTTTCTACCTCTTGGCATGGCTAATTGTTTTTCTGCTGTCATTCTGTTACTGTGATAAAACACTCTAGACAAAAGAAACTCGGGGGAGGAAAGGGTTTATTTAGCTTACTTTTACAAGTTATCATCCATCCTTGAGCGAAGCCAGGGCAGAAAATCAAGCAAGAACTGGAAAGCAGAAACCATGAAGGAATGCTGCTTGTTGGCCTGTCCCTGGCTCTCTGGCTCACTTTCTGTCAGGCTCACACTTAATTAATCTTCTCATACAGCTCAGGACCACAAAATGGTGCTCCCCACAGCAAGCTGGGACCTCCTACATCAATTAGGATAAACCAGACAGATTATATCCACAGACCAACCTGACCTGGTAGTTCCCAGTTAAGAGTTTCCTGTCATGACTGTAGGCTGTGTTAAGAAGGCAATAAAAGCTAACCAGGACAATTTTCAATGTCAGCTTGCCTGGATTTAGAATCACCTACGAGACACACTTTAGGATATGTGTGTGACATTATTTCCTGAGAAAGGAAAACCCACCCTGAATGTAGGCAGCTCCATTTAATACATTAGGCCCTAAGAGACATAATAAAAGGAGAACAAGAAGATGGGACTTAAGACTGACATTCGCTGCTCTCTGAGACCCAACTAAGGATACCATGTGGTCAGCTGCCCACACTCCTGCCTCTAAGCTGTCCACCATGATGGTCTGTATCCTCAAACTGAAAGTCAATATCAGCCTTACTCCCGCGAACCTCTTCTTGTCAGGTGCTTTGTAATAGCAACAAGGATAGTAAAGCCTCTTAGCAAGACCTGGATGACCTGGAAGCCAAGTGCAAAGGGAAGAATAACTTCCCAGTCTCCCTCTGCTCTAAGGACACCTGTGTTACACTGCCTTTCTGGAACCACAGGTCACAGCGGTAATATTTCTCCTCCCATGGCCCAAGCTTAATTAATCATCAAGTCCTGAGGAGCCTGGGAGAAATCCTTCAGATTTATGTGGTCTATTATATTATAACTTACTCTCAAGAATAATATTTTAAATACCTTGAACAGATTTCTAACTCTAAACAAGATAAAGTAATAATAACTGAACATAGCCTACCTCCTGAGGGGAAAGAAGTCCAACAAATGGCTGGGGAAACAGCTCAGCTGGTACAGGCACTTCTGCCAAGACTGATGACCCGAATCTGTTTGTTGGAACTCACTTGGTGAAAGGAGAGCTCACTCCTACGAGCTGTCTTCTGACCTCCACATGCTCACTGTGGCATGCATATAATCATCCCCCTCCAAAAGTCCACACATAGAATAACTTTTAAACTATTTTTAATAAGATTTGGGGCATCTAGGGCAATGGAGCAGAAAGCAAAGTGCTGCAGCTCTAAAGGTCTTCAGAGGGCAGCCCTGTAGCTCAGCTGAAAAACTTACTCCCTCAAGCATGTGAGAAAGCTACCTAAAGCCAGATAGAAAACAAAGGTCTAACAAGTAAGGTTAATCAGTATCTTTCTTTATTAAGAGGTTTATGTAGAAAATAGAACAGAAGCTGTGCAAAAGCTGCAAGCAATTATAAATGAGTTTGAGAAGATTTCAGGTTGTAAAAATCAATATGCAAAATCCAATAGTGTCTCTAGTAACAAAATCAGAAACTGAAATAATCTTGGAAAGATTGGCAGTGGCAGATGCACAAATGTAGAAGAAGATGCTTCACACCTCCACACAGGATCTACAGGGTATGCTGGGAGGAAGGAAGAAATGCTGGATAAAGGAGTTATTCATGTTCATGAGTCAGAGAAGCATGCAGAAATCAACAGCAAGAAACAATGAGTTTGGAAAGAGTTGCCTGGTCAAACAGTGGTGACACATGCCTTTCATCCCAGCATTTGACAGGCAGAGGCAGGTGGATCTCTGTGAATTTAAGGCCAGCATGGTCACAGAGGGAGTTCCATTACAGCCAGGGCTGTTATAAAATCCAGTGTAAAAGGAGGGTGCTTGTTGGTTCCCAGCAGCTTAGCCCTGAAATAATCACAGAGAAACTGTATTAATTAAATCATTGTTAGACCCATTAGCTCTAGTTTCTTATTGGTTAACTCTTAACATATTAATTTAACCCATTTCTGCTAGTCTGTGTATCACCACGTGGTTGTGACTTACTGGCTAAAGTTCTGTCTCCGGCAGGGCTACATGGCTTCTCTCTGACTCTGCCTTCTTCCTCCCAGCATTTCATTTAGTTTTCCCTGCCTAGCTCTGTTCCTCTATAGCTCTGCTATAGGCCCAAAGCAGTTCCTTTATTAACCAATGGTAATCACAGCATACAGAGGGAAATCCCATATCACCTCCCCTTTTCTGTTTAAATGAAAAAGAAGGCTTTATCTTCAGCATAGTAAAATTGCATATAACAAAACAGGTATCATGCAAGAATTACAGTTACAATATTTATATCTACTTTATCTCTTACCATAACTAAGAAAATCTATATTATTAATATCTACTCATCAATTCCACCAAAGATTTCAGAAGGATATAATATTACCTAATTAAACAATAAGTTCATTGTAAGCAACTTCCAAAACTCTAGAATTGACAAAGACTTCTTGCTACCTCGACAGTCACCCAAAATTCTTCTGTATCATTGGGGCATCCATCTTCAGTCTACAGGCACATAATATCCAGCAGACTTTTCCATGAAGCAAGAAATTTGAAAGACTGTTTTGCCTCTATTGGCAGTTTGTCAGTCAGTTTCTTCTGTGTCCTGCAGAATGTCTAGTACACTCTTCTGTGGATTCATTCTGAGCTAAGAAAAATCAGGTTTGATCAAGGAAGACCACCTGAGAAAACTCCAGTAGGAACAATTGGCCCACATATCAGAGTTCTAGATCCAAAACAGATTCAAGACTGCTGCCTGAGATGATCAAGACTCACAGGATACTCCAGTCAGGATTTGATAGTAACTCTAAATTTTCTTTAGATCCCATAAGATTATCAGCGGCCCCAACCAGCAGGAAGTAGCCTGGAAAATTATGCCCACATTCCCAAAAAATGGACTATGGATATTTTCTTTTGTTTAAAAAAAAAGAAGAAGAAGGGGGGAAGTGGTACAGGAGAATTGTCTGTATTCTGTCAATCATGTTTTAAATAAACACTGATTGACCAGGCAGGAAGTATAGGTGGGTCAACCAGACAGGTAGTAGAGGTGGGGCGATGAGAACAGGTGACTTTTGGGGAGAAGGATGCTCTTTCCCCATTCCTACCCAGACCACCAAAGAAGCAGAATGTGACCTGCACCACAGAAAAAGGTACTGAGTCATGTGGCTAACATATACTAGAATAATGGGTTAATATAAGATACAAGAGCTAATAAGAAGCCTGAGCTAATGGGCCAATCAGTTTATAATCTAATGTAGACTCTCTGTGTGATTTTCTCTAGGACTAAAGGGCTGGGGAACTGGGTGTGACAGAAACCCCAATGAGCCCAGCCCTCATGTTACACTCTTTCATGAAGAGTGAGCCTTAAATGATCATCTTACCTTTAGGCAAGTTCAGCAGTCATTTCTCTGTGGGTCTTGCATGTCCAGTTCATTGAGCAGTCCAGGCAAAAGCAGTTTCTTACCCAAATGGCTAACTAGCTCCATAAGGAGCCCTTCAATGCCCATCTTCCTCTTGAAGTAATTGGTGGTGCCAGGAACACTTGTGTCTCATTGTCATAAAAAGTCCTAACTTCTTAAAACATTTTAAATGCCATATTCTGTAGTCTTTGAAAGGCTTGAAGAATACCTATCTTTCTGAAATATATCTCTGTACATCTAGAAAATCGAGCTAATATGATTATAAGCTTGGCTATAATAGATGATTATCTATTAACCTATATTTCTTAATTATACATTACATTTTTAAATGAGTTGCACAAACACAATACCTTAATCAAGAGCAGAAATATACATATAACAAAATTGACCTTAAGTTTGTATCAGTAAACCAAGATATCCATACCAGTGAAAATGTCTATATCATATCCCCCTTTAAATGTAAACCAACATTTATAAACAACATTTGGGAATTTGGGCATAGTACTCTCCAAGCTGCTTCGTGCTATTTATTGGGTGAAGTAATTTTTGAGGGGTGTTCAAGGTGACCTTTCAGGAGCTCTTGGTCCATCTAACCTCAGCAGTCTGGAAGCAGTCCACAGGTTCTCATCCTCTGTGGAAACAAAAGAAGAATCTCTTTTCCAAAGCAACATATCCTTAGACCCAAATTCTGAAGTCAAGATACCTTTGTAATATACATGTTGGTTTAGCTTAGCAGCCCATATAATGGAATGTCTCTCTGTACTTAACTCCTTCATAGTTAAAAAATTAAAGAAAACACAATAGTATACATAATTCAGACTCTCTGTGAATTCTCCATCTTTATGTGGCTTATTTATTTTCACTCTATTACTTTTTCTGTCCTCTGTCTCTTTAAAGACTTTGTTTTAATTTTTATATAAACCATTTAATTCTTTTTATAACTCTCTATACTCTTTTTCTTCTCTCTCCCTAGCCTATGTACATTTATCCAATACTGTTACCCATTTAGAGGTCGTTTATGTCTGAATCTGTCCTATTGTGAATCTATAATTTTTTGCTGTTCAGGAGCACTTCTTAAAAACTTAGGCTGCACCATTATTGGACGAAATACAGTAGTTTCTGTTTGCCCCACCCAGTCCGACATGGCAGAGCTTTTCACAGCCTCCAAGAGCCATGCACAGTGCCCCATCCTTAGGCACACTGCCAGTCCATGTTGCCATCAAACAAGCCATAGCATGTTACTCACAAACCTCATTCAAATGCTCAGTCTCCTGAAAGAGCCAGAGGTTGTGCTGGCATAATGACACAGAAAGCCAGCATTTCAAAATGGTGTGGCTTTTTTTCTTTTGCTACCACTGAATCAGGAAAACCTCTCTTAAAGGAGCGGCAACATGTGCCGCCAGAGAGCAAAGCCCATTGGGGACAAAAATGCAGCTAAACTTTGTTTTCTAGGGTTTAGAATTTCTTTGCAAGCCCTGTCAGGTTTTAAGTGGATTTTAGTTGGCCACGTGGGCACCAATCTGTTGCATGGGGAAGCTGCTTGTTTGTCCCAGCTACCCAGAACCAAAATAATCACACAGAAATTGTATTAATTAAATCACTGCTTGACCCATTAGCTCTAGCTTCTTACTAGCTAACTCTTACATATTAATTTAACCCATTTCTATTAATCTGTGTATTGCCACATGGTTGTGGCTTTTCAACTGAAATTCTGGCATCTGTTTCCGGCAGAGCTACATGGCTTCTCTCTCACTCTGCCTTCTTTTCTCCTAGCAATCCATTTAGTTTTCCCTGCCTAGCTCTGTTCCCCTATAGCTCTGTTATAGGTCCAAAGCAGTTCCTTTATTAACCAATGGTAATCACAGCATACAGAGGGAAATCCCACATTAAACCAGAGTTTGGATGCCCAGACCCTGTGTAAATGTTGGGTGGCTGTGAGTTACACAAGGAGGAGTAGGAGGAAACGTTGGAGAACAACGTGTGCATATAAGCAAACCTAACCATGAATCTGTTTTCTTTCTTTCTTTACCATAAGGTAAAGGCAAACATGGAACGTTTAGTTGGTCTTCCTTAATATACACTGGCTACTTTTGTGTTCCTGAAACATGAAGATGACCTAGAAAGCAATGTTCAGTCTGAAATAAACATCCTTTCTCAGTGAGCAGGAACAAAAACCCCAGACCCCACCAAATCAACTGAAGGCTCTTTGTAACTCTTCTACGGAGATTTCCTTCCCCCAGTTTCCTTTCATCCTAACAGTGGAGAAAACAATAGAATAAATTTTATGTTACAGTATAAGGCTCCATTTTTAGTCTCTGCGTCCAGTTTGAAATGGTCATGTGGATAAAGATTAAAGAAAACAGGCCTACACCAAACACATTTCTGAGGAGTAGGATGCATTTATCTCCAAATAACACAAATTCTAAAAACAAGCACAGTTTGTTTGGCTACAAATTTCAGAGTATGGTTCCCAGGAGTAGCTTAGAAATGTAAGTGCTATTGACAGTGAATTGAAAGGACCATTCATTAACACAGGTGCGGAGCCGAGCCTGCCCACATTTGATCTTCTATTTCCTCTACTATCAAGTGTGTACACAGTCTCAGATTGTGACAATACTCCACCTCAAGGTGGTATTTACAAATGTGATGATTGAGATCCACAGTTCCCTAACAAGCATCATATCTTAGACCTGTGATTGAAGTAAACTAAGTAACTACAAAAGAATTAATATCTCACTGAGCTACAGTTAAAAATTATAAACACAAAATTAGAGAGATGGTTCAGTGGGTAAGGAAACTCACTATTTAAGCCTGAGGATCTGCATTTGTATCCCATAATCCACTTAAATCGATGGCTGGGAGATGCTGTGGGAGATAGAGACAAGAGGTTTCCTGGGGCTTTCTGGCCACCAGTGAGTGCCAACTTCAATAGGAGACCATTTCAGGGAACAAAGTAGAGACTGATAAAGCAGGAACCAGATATCTTATTCTGGCCTTTTGCTCACATGCACAGGTGCATGACACAAACACATATGCCCTTACATCACACACACACACACACACACACACACACACACACGCACACTGGGACTAGGGATGTAACTCTGTTGATAAATGCTTGCTTAGAAGGCATGGAGCCCTGGGTTTGATCTTCAGCATTGTGTAAACTGGGCATAGTGGCACATGCACTTAATCATAGAACTTGGGAAGTAGAAAGAGGAGAATCAGTTACATGAGGAGTTCAAGCTCACCCTGAGCTACATGAGAGGAGGAAAAAACAAGAAAGAAGGAAGGAAAGAAAGAAAGGAAGGAGGGGAAGGAGGGGGGGAGAGGGGAAGGAGAAGAACAATATAATGGTTGTCTTAAAACTC